AAATTGTAATAAAATAAATTTTATTCATATGTTCCGTTTTGTTACATATTTCAATTTATAAAATAAAAATCGATATCTTAAAACAATATTTTTCAATCTTTTGGCAACCTTGCGCTTTAGCGACGGAATTCCGACCCACAGATAGCCATAAAACTCTTTTGACGTTAATGCTGATCAAGAACACCCTGGCAGTTTACAGCACCTAGTGAACTATCCATTAGAGGGGCAGGAAGGAGATGGAGGCTTTGTTGTTGTGAGCCACAAGTGTACTCTTGTGACCGAACATCAGAGTGGAGATACGGTTGGTTATATCCAGGATAAGCTGACGCCTATCTGGAAGGAGGTTAATGAGGATGAGGGAGGTGAATTCCATCACTGCCTTCATGTCTGAAGACAGTTCGTAGGGTGGATCTCTTTTATCGGTGGTTATAGGTTGGGTTTCTTGTGGGGTTTTTGGTAGATTTGAGGTTGAGTTTGAGTGGGCATTTGACCGAATAGGCCGCATGCTCGCCACCACAGTTAGGACATTTAGGAGCTTGTGGGGTGGGGCAGGAAGTGGATTTGTGGTCTTGACCACAAGTAGGGCACCTATACTGTTTTTGCGGGCACTCTGCAATGGTATGCCCGTTTGAACTGCACTTGGCGCAGTACTTGGGTACGGGGGGAACGGGGTTGGAGTTGAAAGGTAATTCCGCAGTCATACGGAGGCCGTCAAAGTACACGCCTCTGGCCAACATCTCCGTGTACTTTGATTCACTTGAGGTGATCAATTTGACATAAGTGGTAGGTTTGTTCTCTCTGGAGATGATGCGCCAGAGACGTATGACAGGGATGTTTAGTTGTGTGAACAGGATGGTTAGTTCGGCGTCGGAGTAGATTCTGTCAACTCCCTTGACGACCACCATATATCCGGGATTGTGGGTACGGGTAGTGGTATTTTTCGTGGTTGAAGGATTTGGATTGTGCTTAGGGGAGATCGGGATTTTGGGATCCCCTACAGCATCACGGAGTCGGCGCTGGACTTCAACGTGATTTATTGGGTGAGGTGTGGTGAGGTGAGCAGTTCCGGTGGGTAGGACTTTAATAGTGGTGATTTGGTTCAAAAGTAGTTCTCTGGTATTGAGGATTCTGAAAAAATCACGTTGAGTGGATTTTTCCAGAGGGATATTTGTAATAAGGTAGTTGAAGTGTTTTGGTTGTTGGGAAGTTGTTTGTGGATGCTGTGGTTTAGGAGTGTGAGCTGCGGTAGCGTAGGAAGGGATTTGTTGAGGGATGGAAGTGTTTGTATGTGTACTAATTTGCGGTGTGAGTTGTGGTGTAGGTTGGATATTGGTAGTATGTGTGGTAGATGTTTGCTGATGTTGGTGTGCTAAGGTGTTTGTTGGTGTTGATGAAGGATTGGCGATAAGGGAGGACCGGGACAGCTGCAAACGCGCGATCAACCGGTCGATTTGGTCTATGGGGAGGGTAGTCACCAAATCCTCGACGAAACTATCAGTGGCGACGTTCATCTTAGGAGTGGTGTCGTTGGTATCGGGTATATGTATTGTAGGGATAGTGTAGGTAGGAGGAGTCGGTAGTGTATATTGATTTGTTGGTGAAATAGGAATCGGTGATATTGGTTTTTGATAAGAGAGTTGGGGTAATGGTGGAAAGTCAGGTGAATGTACAGGTATTGCGTCGTTGCTGTTATCAGATGTCATTGATTGATTATGTACGGGAGGAGGGTCAGGAGGTTCAGCAGGACGCGGCTTTGACCTATTAGAGCGGGTCGAGCGCGGCATTACTAAAGTGGTTTAGCTAGGTGTACACCCAGAAGACACCCTTTTTCCTATACGCTGTGCAATGTATAGGATGGCGGGTCGCCGGACTATGCTTACTATGAAATGAGCTGTCGGTCCCTCGATGCACTTCCTTGTGTACTAATGAAGTTTGTATGTATACTAATTGAAACTTCCAATCAAATTTTCCACGAGTTACTAATTACAATTAGTAACTATATGGAAATCCAATGGAGTCAGTTCGTGACTCAAGTACCGCACTTAACACTAGGCCAGCTAGTCAACACCCAATTAGTAACCAGAGAGAAACCGGCTACAGCGTACGCAGGTGGCCTTTTCTTACCGCAACCACCTACTATGCTTTCACCAGTTACCAATTAGCTAATAGAGTGTATAAGACGAACTGCCCCAGATGAAAATATGCAGCACTGATACTGATGACTGATTTTTTTTTTTTTTTCTTGAATGTACCTAAAAAATTTTCAGAGAACCGCTACGATGCTGGACCTGGTTGTCCTATCGCCCTATCGGAGGCTGAAAGCCCCGGCTACGGCCGCGGATGGCTTCTTACAATACCATCCACCTAGCCTTCACCGTGACCAGCAGAATCTCCGAAACAGCAGACGGGAGCACCCAACCAACACAATAACAGCCCTATGAACGCTAACGGTTTTTAGAAAAACCGTTACGTCGATCAATGGGGGTAGAACAATGAACAATGGTTCTATTGTTGTCGCTTCTTATCGCCTGCCTATTGTCTTCTTATCTCTCGGCGTAACGTTCGTCCAAGCGATCAGCTTATTAACGATGCCTATGGCTGTTAACTGATCCTATGCTATAGGAACGAACGGGTACCTAAAAACGAGAAAACAACCGTTCACTCTGAATTCACGATGCAAACTGCTTCTTAATCACGATGCAAACTCGCTGTTGTATTTATAGTTCCACTTCTCCTCAGCGGTTTATAGTAGCGTATATGGTACGCCGACAGTGTTGCTCCGTCTACCGATTTTTCCTGAAAGTCCGGTTTTGTGCAGATAATAAATAATGTTTTAACATCAATTTTGTTTGTGTTCATTAGGTATTATTTGAGTTATACAGTTTATACTTAAATACATTTATTAATCCAAATATTGTTTATAATTTCAAATTAAAAAGAGTGTAATATTATTTTTAAAATTATTTTTTATTTTTAATTTTAGAAATCAACTTTTTTTTTCAAGCCTTTTTGGCAATAAAACAACCATTTTTTTAGTGATAAAATATTTTCATATCTACATTTATAAATAAGTTCGTTTTCGTTGAATTGACATGCGATCTAGGTGTGTTCCGTTTTTACACTTACACTGGCATCATCGCGGCGTGAATTGAGAGTGAGACTCCAGTCAAACAAATGAATTAATTATAAAACATCGCGACGTTGTATTGAAATTTACAGCTTTACAAAGCCATTTACAACAACTGTTGGATGAAGACGGTCCTCAATATTCACCAGGAATGGCCGATTAAACGTGAGTATAAAGTTATCAGCCTTTTATTCACGAAAATTATATTAAAATAACTTTAAATGCTTTTTTCTCAAAAGTAACATTTTCAAACTGGTCAGACACTTTTCTCCGAACCTTCTTAACCGATTTTAAAAAACCAAAAATTTTTCGAATGTATATAGAAAGTACTAGATGATAAACCTTCAAAATATTTAAAAACCACCCTCCCTTTTATTATAGGGTAAATCCACCGAAAAATATAGTGATTTTTCAACTTTTTTTTAAAAAATTCGTATAAACTCTTCAAAATAATAAAATTTGCATATTTTAAAGGTTTATCATCTAGTTTTGAGTCTCACGAATACAACCCATTTTGAATTTTTTGAATATCTGTTACAGGTGACCCACAAAGTGTCTTACCTCCAAAAACGCACTTTTTACTACACGCCATCTACAGGACACCAATGAAGTTAAAATCGCTATTAAAAATTTTTATTATGTACTTCAAGAATTACTTAATCATCTCCAAAAGGAATAATGTTAATAAATATTATAGTTTATTTTTCTGCTTTAATTTTAAAATGCGTTTTTTTTTAATCGCATGAGACTGTCCCCTTAAAACACTAAACACTGATTTTTTAGAAAAACAATCATCCACCAAGCAGGTGATTTTTTACAATTATTGCAATAATATAAAAAGAACCAACCGCCTTGCATGTCGTTTGGTTCCATTTATTGCAAAAATATAACAGGAACCAACAACCGAGAAATATTTTTTACCATGTTATAAGTAATAAAAATAATACAAAAACTATTTTCTATCGGTGTAAAATAAACCTATAATAGTTAATTTAAAAGTAAATGTAAAACTAATCAACAATTTGTTTTAAAACCAACAAATAACTTAACCAAAAAAAAACTTACCAAGTTGTTTCTGCTGGTTTTAAGTTGTTTCGTTTCCAAGGGAGTTGCCTCCGTAGACTTTGGCTCTAATAGAGCTTTTTTCATTTTTCACTTATTATTTTCACTTTAAACCTTTAAGCTAACGAAAATTGCTACCGGTCGCTACAGAATCACATAAAGTTTAAAAAGATCCAAGCGACACCAATATTTTTTCTACAAAGTACCACCGCTTGGTTCTTTTTATATTAAAGAAAACTGCCCGATTTTGCGATTGTCGCTTGGACCTTTTTTCTACAGATGTCGCTAGAAGCTCCGGAGCCGTACGGATTTTTTTACACATATAAAGTGAATATCTGGCTATTTATTGGTGCTATTAACTCATTTTTTGTAAAATGTCGCTTGGTTCCTTTTCGATTAGCGCTATCCATATGAAAGCTTATTTATATTGAAGTTTTTTAACAATTGTGTCACATTTTAGACTATTGTCGTTATTTAATCAAAACTTTACTATGCTTTAGAGTTAAAAAAAGTGTTTTATGTGTTTGGAATATGGTGCTTATAATAATATTGGAACATAGTCTTAAATTTGGCGCCTTTGCATTTCCGGATATGTCAGCCATATTAAGAGGCCACTTTTATGAAGTTTGGTCTCCTTTTCATAACGATTAGATTTCCTCTTTTGTCTTTTTGCTTGATACTTCTACTATACAAATAAAGTGATAAAAACAGTAAGATAGACAAAACCATACATATTTAAATGATTATGTCACACATTGGAAAAAATAAAGTTGAAATGATAATTCTTACATAAAATGCAAATTAATGCCATATAAATGATAGAGGGATAAAACAAGGGAAGATGAGAGTGAGCAATAGCTAGAATATACAAAAACTGTAACAAATAGTAGAAAAATCAATCAATAAAATATACCAATTGTGTGCCTTGTCACAGGATGATGAAAATTGATCGTTCTGAAGGATATACATAAAACAATTCAATGTAATCTTGGTTTCTTCTCTGGAGGTGGTTTGATTTTCCCCTGCTTTACCTCCTTTTTGATCTCCTTATTCTCGGGAGCTCCATTGTCAGGTTCTTGTTTAATTTGTGGAACTGGTGCAATTTTAGGCTGAGGGGGAGCAGGTAAGGGAAATTTTCTTATCAATTCTCCTAGTAACATATCAACCCTTTGTCTTTGAAATAACGAACTAGGTTCCTCCCTTGGCTTTTCATCTTTTTTTACTTTTTCAGCTGCTCGCTGAGATTTAAAATCCCAAGAATAGCCTTTACTGGGATGATACTTGGCAAAACCTGAAGATTCCTCAAAGGATGATTGCAGATAGTGTACAGCAGATAACTGAAAGAAAAATATCCGTTTAAACTTGTTTTCTAAATAGTAGACGACTTCTGTAGGAACATACAATGACATATCGTGTTATTTAAAAAATATATTACCAGTCTGGAATTCAAAACACTTGCTAGATCAGGAGCCTGATAGACAATACCAGCAATAATATAGTAATCTGCTAAGGGAATAATCTGCTGAGGACTTTGTCTGTGCTGCTTTCGAATTACATACAAAATCGGTTCTTGAACATGTAAAAGAACATACTCTACCCCTGTCATATTTCTAAAAACAAAAAATATAGTTTTTCAAAGATCTAGTAATTCCTTATTTTACTTACTGCAGTTGGTCAGTATTGAGACGCTGCATTTTGACGATTTCATTGTTACAAGTTCTATCAAAGAACGGGTTTGATCCTTGCGAAAAGTATTCCATTATGTTGGAAGTATTTAGAATGGGAATCCAAGCTGAATCGTGCCATGAGAGACTAAGTGGGTTGTCGGGGATAGCCGGGTTCGTTATTCCCAGTCTGCCGGCCATCATTTTTGAATAATTAGCTACTATACAAAGTTTTAAAACAGACAAATACAAACAGATCTACATAAATCACTTAAACATCTAAAACTCTGAGGTTATGTACGTTACTGACGTTTTGAATTTGAAAGAAAATTAAACAGATATTGACAAGTGACACCGACATGCTGTTTTATTATTTGCATATGTATTAGGCGTTAATACAATACCGTCAGCGCCATTCAAACGAATTAAACTTTTGTATTATAGTATGACTATATTTGTACAGATGGTAGCACTGCTTGAAGAGTTAATTTATATTATAGGCTGCATAGGTGCCTAATTAGTACTGCCATTGAATGATCGAACTTGTTTAGTTTGACTAGTGTTCTAAAGATAATAGCACCAGTTAGAGGCTTAATTCTGTATTATTGGTTGCAGAGATAAAACGTTTCATACTTAATACGTGCCGCCATCTTTATTTGAATGAGTGTACTGTGTACTTATGTTCTTTAAAATTAAAAAAGCAGAAAATTTGTGTATTACTGGTTGTATAATTAGTAGGAGCTAAGATCATAATGTCTATAATCACAGCCACCTAAAGCTTACAAGCCGTGAACTAAAAATGGCAACGCCGCATCAGCTGTTAGAAGTAGTCCGACTATAAAGAGCCCATCAAAATAATAAATAAAAGAGGAACATCATAATATTCGCTATAAAGTTAAAATTAAGTAAAAAAATCGAACAAAATAGTTTGATAAGGTACATATATATATATATATATATATATATATATATATATATATATATATATATATATATATCACATCTATTAAAACTGCAAAACATTGAATACAATGAGGTGTAATATTAATAGAATTTAAAAGTAATACAAGTGCATTCAGCTTACATTATTTACATAATTTACGTTAAAAAAAAAGAAAATATTCTTTTAATATTTTTGTAAACAACTTGCAGTTTATTGAATTCTAGTATCCCTTGAGCGAATATTATATTTATTAAGAGTGGCTTAAAAAAATGTTATTGAAATTCCAGGTATTTATTTTTTTAAAGTTGAAAGCTTGCGCTTTTTAGATAAACTTTTAGTTAGTTTCTTTGTCATAATTTCATTATTCTTGTTTTTTGTGAAGTTATTTAACAAAGTATTGGAGAAAATCACAGAAATTTTAAAATATAATTCTCTAACAGCTGTTCCACAAACACAAATTTTAGAAAAATCAATATAAAAATTGTCACTTTCCAAACTCGTGAGGGCTAAAGAAGCCAATAAATATTTTTGATTTTTATGAGACAAAAACAGTGACATAGTTTCTGGATGTTTAATTATGTATTCAAAAAGAGCACACGAGTGATAATAAATATAATGAACTTCATTTGTTGCAACAGATAAACCACCTCGTTGCAGATAATCAAAATATTCATCATTTACCTTATCACCTATACTTTGTACAATCAGATCTCTACAGGTAAGGCATTTAAGAGTTTTTTGTACAGTATGAACTGCATATCCGCTAATATATATTTGACTTGATTCCTCACAATTGTATGTACGCAGATAATCACTATTAAAAATAGAAGTAAATTCTGAACATTCTATGAACTGATTAAGTGTTGCACAATTTAGATCATCAGGTGGCTGAAATTTTAATTGTGTTAAATCACTAGTAACAGACGATTTCAGAATATTCTGTATTCGAATTTTTTTTTCTGAATCAATCACTTGAGTAACTGAAATGTTATAATTACAGCCAGATAGGTACCTATAACGACCAAACCTTTCTTCTAAATTATCCGTTTGGAATTTGCCAGGTAATATAAATTCTATATTTAAATGATTAAATGAATACTCTATTACTTTGATCAAAATTGATGTGCTGTTTTTAAGAGCAAGGTATGTATCATTTGTAAGTGAAGAGCCTTCAGGAATTTGATGCCAAGAATCTAGCCACATCACAAATTTTTTTAAAAAAACTACTTTGAAATCATTATCTGAAAAAATTGGGGTAGCCAAATCATTCCTTTTTGCCTGTCCTTTAAATTTAGTTTTTACATTAATTATGTTCCACCAACTTCTAATAATTTCTAAAAATGAGGCTGTGTCTGTATAAATACTACATGACTGTAAAGCAGCTATTGTACTTTCATGAAAAATATTTTCTACCAAAGACACTTTTTGTCTTTCAAAATTATTTGGATAAATAGATTTATGATTTAGTTTATATGCTCTTTTGGTTAAAAAGTTTATCTCAATTTGGTACAATGTTTGTAAGTCCTTAAAAAATGCCTTTCGAAGAACTGAATGATTATTAAAATCTGGAAAAATAAAGGTTTTTTCTGGGTCTTTCTTATTAAGCCAATTATTCCTAATATTTTTAAAAATATGTACAAAATCATATAATAAATAAATATTCTCATTATTAAACTTAGGATTAGATATGGAAAAATTTGGAGATAACTGACCAAACATGTTTTGATTTAAACGATTGTTGTCGGTAATTACACACAATACTTTAAATCCACAGTCCTGAATATACTGAATTGATTCAAGAACTATGTCTTTGAGTTCATTACCAGCAATATTACATACAGGTACTAAACGCACCACTTCTTTAAAATGTGCAAATGCTGATGAAATCATTAACGTTAGAATAGTTTTCGCTAATTGTTTATCATTGTTGGCAGCAAAACCAGTAATTTGTTTTGAGTGATAATGAACTCCAGGATTTACATATATTTCATCTACAAGTAAATTGACTATTTTTTCTCGATCATTCAGATTTGAAGCAAGATATGATAAATAATTATTTTCTAATTGATCATCAGGAGATACATGAAAGGATGATGTTATCATTTGTAAATATCTTTTAGTGGGCAAATTTAAGTACTGCTGAATAATATTATAACATGATGTTGACTGATTATATATGGTAAGAGCAAAAATAATTGTTGGTAGAGAATATTTTGCCCTACTTGCTGTTAGTAACAGTAACTGATTTTTCACAAAAGCCAGAACTCCCTTCATTTTATCTACATCTGTATTTTCTATGACTCTGTCAATTTCACTACATATTTTGGTTATTTTAAAATTATTGTCAATAGGACTTTCAAAAAAAAAAGAATACCTGGACAGCAGATTTTCTAGTTGTGACCAACGCGATAACTTACAGTCAAATGGTAAAATACATTTTAAATCATGAGGTGACAGTTGGATGTCCTTCACATAAACAGATACAAGTAATTCCTTCGTAATGTTAATGTTTGAAATAACTTTTATACACTCATCACTAAACTGATTGTCAATATTTAATAAATAAAAACAAATCCTTTCTTCTACAACTTTTATTTGCCAGTTTTTTAACTCAACCCTCTCACTAACACTTTGTAAAAGTTCCTTGAAATCCACGATAAGGTCTTTGTTTTCGAGTTCTTTTATATTATTTTCTTCCCGGAGACTTATTTCTGCTCGCCTAGTTTCAGGATTTTTTCTTGTTGGTGGTTTTGGGTTAGATAAATATGACGGTTGGTTTTCAAAAATTCTTGGTATCGCATTCTCTTTCAACTTGGGATAAACCAAATTTCGTTGAAGAACCGTACCATTTTTATCAATGAATGACTCACTTTCAATAATATCCGTTGCATCAAAATGTTTTTTACATACTACCGAACTAGAAGTTACTCTGAAATCTTCACGGTTAATAGATCTAACCCACTGAGTACGAAGGTGATCGTTTTTGGGAAAAGAGAATGTACTTTGGGCCTTTTCATACTTTAAAGTAGTTGCGTAATTTGATTTGCAATTTGGTACACTGCAGTGTCTCGGCATCTGTAATTAAAAAAATATGTTAGAATATCATATTACTACTCCCTGTGCCAATAAATTAACATCGACTTGGGGTTTGTAATTACTAAAGCGAATTTGTGAATTTAACAGTTTGTACGTATTATTTGTCTGAATAATATATATATCTAATTCTTTAATGCTTCATACAATTATTACAATATACGTAAAAAATACATACCTTTTTTTTTAATCGAATAATTCACCAATTAACAAACAAAATTAGCATAATCTCATAAGTAAACACAGGGCTATAGGACCACTATCGGACTACCTCCAACGTTGCCAATTTTCTCACTTCACGGCTTGTAAGCTTTAGGTGGCTGTGCTATAATAGGTTTGTTCCACGGTTCGTAGACTTACTCCGGTTGCCTCTTCCGACTGGGGTGGGGATGCTTTAGTTACGTCACAGGAGTACACAAGAATACAAAACCAATTTATTCGCGATTGAAACTGAATGTAGAGGGCGGGGCAGGTCGATTGCAGTGTCATGGCCGATATAAATGGTATAAACAAAAACAAACATAACATTCGAATATTTACCATTGCTTTTCCATGTTTAGTTTGGTTTAAGACGAGTTATTTGTATCATTTAATAATGGAAATTAACCTTAATGATATCTTTGAGTATTGTGGTGAAGCAAAGAGTCCATTGGTTGAAGGGGAAGCAGTTTTCAAGTGATGAATTCCTAAATTTTAACTTTAATGTTTGGAACTGGCTTGTGTATTGATGATGAATCCTATTTTGTGTATACCTGGGAACCCAGAATATAATATTTTGTGTAATGTTTGCCTTAACGTATATATGCATTATTATATCTTATGTTTTTAATATGTTAATTTTTATTTTATACTATTTTTTGACATATGTAAGTACTTTATTGTATATTAACATAAATAAATAACTTTAACTTGGCTTTATTGTAAAATAGTTCATTTGATTACATGAAATTAACCTTAACTTGAGATCACCTCTCAGAAAATATAGCACATGATTTGTCTTTAAAAAATTGCATAATAAATTATTTTTTTATATAATAATTGCATAATAAATTAGTTTTTCAGTTTATTCTAGATTGGATTTAAAATACTTTAACGTAGTCATAATGCTGAAATTTACTAAAAATAATTAATAATTATATTCAAATCAACAGCTGTCTGGTTTGTTTATACCACTTTTATGCCTGGTATTGCGGTATTATAAAACATTTTACTTGCCAAGTAAAATTTAGTTTGAAAGTAAAATAATTTACTCTGCAGATTTG